ACGAGCCTAACGTCTCACATTTACGGGTGTTTAGGTGCGCCATTTATGTGCCAATATCATCGCCGCTACATACCAAAATGGGTCCTAAAAAAAATGGGAATCTATGTCAGTTATGATTCGCCATCAATTGTTCGTTATTTAGAACCCTTGACAAGAGATCTTTTTACCGCACATTTGGATTGTCACTTTGATGAGACATTCTTCCCCTTGTTACGGGGAGATAAGCATGCTAATATTCCTGTAAAACACCACGAATTGTCATGGTATGCTCCTATTATGTCTCATTTAGATCCCCACACCGCCCAGTCTGAAACTGAGGTGCGACAAATTATATATCTTCATAGCATTGCTTAAAGCATGCCAGATGCTTTTAATGATCTAGCTAAGGTAACAAGATCACATATACCCGCTGCAAACGCACATGCAAGGATAGATGTCCGCGTAAGTCCACAACCCGCCTGGGAATGCCAGACTGTCCCCGAAGGTGGGGAGGCCGCACCTTCCACGATTGCTAATATTCCTATAAAACGCCGCGAATTGTCATGGTATGCTCCTATTATGTCTCATTTAGATCCCCGCACTGCCCAGTCTGAAACTAAGGTGCGACAAATTATATATCTTCAGAGCATTGCTTAGAGCATGCCAGATGCTTTTAATGATCTAGCTAAGGTAACAAGATCACATGTAGCCGCTGCAAACGCATATGCAAGGATAGATGTATCCCGCGTACGTCCACAACCCGCCTGGGAAGGCCGGACTGTCCCCAAAGGTGGGGAGGCCGCACCTTCCACGCAGCATGGTACATTAGCAGGTAGCCAATCATCTGCTCTGACCCTAAAGTGTGGCAGACCCCTTGGTTCAAATGAATCACAACCCTGGAAATGGAAAGCAGCACCAACTAGTGACCTTAGTTTGAATCCGACCATTGCTCACTCAGTCGTTCAAACACATGAGGTTATTCTAGATTACAACTATATCTTAAACGAGACAACCCAACCTCCCGTGAATCGTGAAATTTTGGTTCACTATGCAATATTGGATGAAGTTTGGAATCGAAATGAGATGATTGTCGACAATGCATTTGCATACACAGTAGCTACTAACATCATGCTTAATGATGACAATGAATCACGTTCCGTTGAGGAATGCCAACGTAGAACAGATTGGTCAAACTGGAAACAAGCAATCGAGGTCGAACTCGATTCGCTCACGAAACGTAAAATGTTTGGACCTATTGTTCCTACACCACCACGCATGAAGCCTGTTGGCTATAAATGGGTTTTCGTGAAGAAGCATAATGAGAAGAATGAAATAGTGTGATACAAAGCACACCTCGTAGCGTAAGGCTTCTCTTAGTGCCCTAAGATTGATTACGAGGGGATGTATTCCCACGTAATGGACGTTATAACGTTCCGCTACCTAATCAATTTGGTAGTTTTTGAAAAACTGAATATGCAGCTTATGGACGTGGAAACCGTGTATCTTTATGGGAATCTAGATATGGAAATATACATGAAAGTTCCAAAATGACTTCCATTGATTGGCTCAAATAGTTCTAGACCACGAAACACTTTCTCAATTAGGTTGATGAGGTCATTCTACAGATTGAAACAATCCGGACGAATGCGGTATAATCGTCTGAGTAAATATTTAACAAGTCAAAGTCATGTGAACAACAAATTATGCCCATGTGTGTTCATAAAGAAGTCACATTCCAGATTTGCAATTGTTGCAATTTATGTCGATGACATGAACCTCATCGGGACTTCTACAGAGCTTAAGAAAATTGCTACGCACTTGAAATTGGAATTTGAGATGAAAGACCTTGGGAAAACTCGAAATTGACTCAGCCTGGAGATCGAGCATTGTTTGAATGGAATCATAATACATCAATCGAACTACACCCAAACGGTGTTGCGACATTTTAATGAGGATAAAGCAAAACCTTCGAGTACACCTATGGTTATTCAGACTCTAGACGCTAAACGAGATCCCTTCCGTCCAAAGGAGGACAAGGAAGAGATTTTGGAACCTGAAGTTCCTTACCTAAGTGCAATTGGGGCTTTATAGTACTTGGCTCAGTGCATTAAACCCGACATTTCCTTCGATGTTAATCTTTTGGCTAGATACAGAAATGCGCCCACGCACAGGCACTGGAATTGTGTTAAAGACATTTTCCACTACCTCAAGGGTATGACGAATTTGGGCTTGTTCTATACCCACAAATCTTTAAGTGTTGCTACACCTTATGGTTCTCGAATTGATTCTTGCCTTGTTGGTTACGCAAATGCTGGATATCTGTCTGACCCACATAAGGCACGTTCTCAAATGAACTATATCTTTACCGTTGAAGACATCACTATATCTTGGAGGTTTACCAAGCAAACGCTTTGCGACTTCTTAGAACCATGCTGAGATTCTCGCTCTGCATGAAGCATCGCTTGAGTGTTGTTGGCTAAGAGTAGTTATGGAACATATTTGAAGCACTAGTGGTCTTACTTCCGTCTTTGACCTTCCTGCGACAATCTTTGAAAACAATGCAGCATGTATCGAGGAGTTAAAGAATGAATACATCAAGAGCGACAACACTAAGCACATAGTGCCAAAGTTCTTTTACTCACACTAGCAACAACAGCATCAAAACATTGAAGTTAAGCAAATATGTTCCCAGGACAACCTATCTGATCTCTTCACCAAGTCATTGCCCAAGCCTACTTTTCAGAAGCTTGTCCAAGGAATCGGTATGTGTAAATTATCTGAGTTGAATCGCTTGTAGTTCTCTTATTTGGAAGTTATGTTTAACTCAGAGAGGGTATCTAAAAGCACTCACTTGATCTCAATGTACTCTTTTTCCTATGATTAGTAGCATTTTTCCCACTGGGTTTTTGCTACCTAACGAGGTTTTGATGATGCACTCATCCTGAGATGATCATACTCCGTTGAGTTCACTACTTTCGTCATGTTTGACGTTTGTTTTAGACATTATGCATACTTCTCACTTTTCTCTTTAGTCTATAGGTTTTCCCAATGCCTTGGGTTTTACCATAGCAAGGTTTTATGAGTTTTACTACCAATGCATACTTTCTTAAATTTAAGACAACGTTGTGCCGATGGCTTCATCAACTATTCTACATTCTCTGCTAAAGATCTAATGTGATGGTTTGTTAAGTATTTACACACTCAAGGGGAAGTGTTGCTGTCATATTTAGAATAGGAATGTGATTGTGTAAATCCCAATAGATATAGGAATGTATCTTATATTCCTATTAGGAGTTGATTACCTATTAAGAGTTGTAATCCTACAGGGGTAAGGTTTTTGTCTATCCTTCTACTATAAATAAAGGCACAATGGGGTGATATAAACACACCTCACAATTAAATCACTCTCTCTTCTCCCTCAATACCGCCAACTCCCTCTCTCTCTGTAATCCCTTAGATTAGTTCAATCAAATAGGCCTACAACACAAATAGAATAATTAGTCGACTTCTTATTCAAGAAATTTTTGTCGTATATTGTTTTTAGTGGCAATGTCGACCAAGGTCTAGCTCAACTGAACAACCTTGCAATCATCCGCTTCAACTTAATTGGTTCCACAAACAAGAATTTGCTATAAAAACTTCATCTGTCACCCAAAAAAACTTTCTCTACATTCCACACATTTATTCATCTAGTGGCTTTCTCCCCTTCCCTTTGAAGAGGCACCTTTTCCATTCCTTCTGTCATGGCTCTTCCATCCTTCTTTGTGATCGCTCTTCCATCATTTGAGGTGGCTTCTCCACCCTGTGTGGTGGTTTTTCCTTAATAAGGCACCAATCCTAATCTTCCCACCAATCAATAACGATCATCCATCACTTGAGTCATGCTTGAAGTCATGGAAGTCCTCCTAAGGAGTTTTGCTTTCTTAGGGCTAGAAATCCCCAAGAGTACTAGTACGTAGTTTCACCCACGCCGACTACCGGTTTTTCTCTCTATTATGAGAAATAAAACCTCCATAAGCATCAAAGTTAGAACATTCAGCTTCTAACACATAGTTTGGTTTAGTTGATTAATCATAGAGAACTTCGGGTCTCTACATGAGTGGCAAGTGTTAGGAATCTTCAGGTTTTTGTAGCACCTTATTATGAACTTCAAGTTTGAGTTGAAAGTATAAACTTCAGGTTCATAATACCTACAAACAAACGCATATATACAAGACAATATATATATATATATATATAGAGAGAGAGAGAAAGAGAGAGAGAGAGAGAGAGAGAGAGAGAGAGGGAGAGAGAGCAATTATAAAACAAATATAATGAAAGTCGGTAGCTTTAGCTTTGGGACCCTTCTTGTGAAAGTATAGTGAAATAGGTTGGTTGACACTTGGAGGCACAAAATAGGTTGCAAGTCTAAAAAATGTTGGAGTTACTGGCCCAAATTTTTATTTCTATTTTTTCAAGCCGTGCCTTCAGCGCTAGATTCGGGTTTTTAAAACTTTTTTCTTCTTCATTTTTCTTTGCTTTTTCACACAAATTTAATTCACCACAATTATATGAGCAGTAATATAACATAATTGTGAACACTAATTTGAGTAGAATATGTTAATCGGCAATCGAAAATTAGGGTCCATGATCAATGATGAATGTTTCATGCAATCAGGCTGGAAAAAAAAATATTGACGAAGGCCGTGTTTTAGAAGAACCTGGATTGTAATGATGAATCTTGTGAATGGTTTGTAAGAGTTCCTCCTCCAATGTCGGATTTCTATCTTTAAAGTGTTGTATCATGTTCAACATAAAAAGAATAAATTGAATCATTAACAAGTATATTAATTCAATAAAATAAAATAAATTAATCATAATAAGAATGATTGAAACGTATTACTCCCCTAATTAAAAATGGACAAACTCTCTTTAGCGCAGCGTCAAGAGCGTGCTGATAACATGTTGTGGTCTATTTTACTGAAGGGAGAAAGAGGGTGCGGCATAGAGAGATGAAGAAGGGCTTGAGGAATTCTTTTGTGGAGACATAAATTAACTACATTCAATATGAGTACGTCACGTGGACTACAAGCTCAATATGACGATTCTACCGTTAACAACATGAGCAGACCATATACACAACCGTAATGGGCTAAGCAAAGTTGCCCATTCGAAGTAAAGCATTTGGGTCTTGATAGAAGTCATGGTGTACATTGATGAGATTTTTACCACCTGCGAAAGTAGGGATAAAAACACTTAAAATACTTGCAAGAGTACAAGGTAATCGTAGTAAAGTTGACTCTAGCACGGTCGTTCTCCACAGGAATTGGATGAATAATTTATGTCAAATCAAATCTTAATTAATTATCTAAAACGAAGTTTGAGAAAATGTTGATTTTGTGATTTAAAATAATAAAAAAGAATTTAATAAAAATAATCAAATAAATGGGCAAAATAAAATAAACTAAAAGAAAATGCTTTTTGAAAATTAAATTGTAAAAGCACTAGAGTTCCGTCATCACCTTAACAATCCTATGTAGTTCTTCCAATTACCTATGACTTACACATGCATATTTTGAAAGTTAAGTTTCCTAATATAATTGCAGAAGGCCTCAAATCCAAAAGACATTATCTTGGATGCCAAAAAATCCAAATAAGCCCAAAACGTCACTTTAACAGCAGTGAGCGCTGCTCCTTTATTTCATCGCCATAAATAAATCACTTGGTAGAAAAACCTGAAACTTTGACACAAACAAGCTGAAAGACTAAAGAAAATCCTCAAATTGGAATCACTCCAAAATTTGTCTGTTTGATCACTTTTTTCTCTAGATAAAGTCGAATGTCCTACATTAAAAATACAATTCAAAGTATCAAAATTCTACCAAAATAACAAATAATTTAATACTGAAATTAGAGTAAAATATATAATATAATATCTACTCTATCATACATAGAATCCATGAAGTGTCTTCCTCACATACAAAACCCTCCAAAGTTTCAGCCATGAGAGTATTCATAATGGTTGCGTATAGGGTTTGCAGGTGCACTGCCGCACTGATAGGGCGACCAACATGATTTATGATTTTCATTGTGGCCATAAAAACTTTGATGCTGCGTGTAGATCAAACAAATGTGATTTTTTTTTTTTAGATAAATTCAAAGAAAATCCCGATCTTGTGTATATATAGAGATTGATACATGTTAGCATGACGGCTTTAGATATTGAGAGAGGGAGAGAGAGAGTCTGCGATTTAACCAAGTTTCAAATGCATGGTATTAACGTGTAAATAAAAAAATAAAATAAAAAATGGGCTAATTGGCAAATCTCATTTTTCACGTGTTTAACCCAAGCATCATATTCAGTAATCCACTGATCGTAATCATCTCATTATCTCTCTGGTTCAGGTATCAGTTATACCGCCGCCACACATCAGCAGCAGCAGCCAAAATCCAAAAACTCACCGACCGCCATCTAAATAATCGGCGATCCATCGGAAGCGCAGCTTTCCACTCAACCCAGGGTTAATCGGACTTGGATTGTCTGCCCTCCCATTTCGGTGCCCTTCTGTTTTGTGTGGTCACGGTTAAATCACGTTAATATTTTATATTATTTTTTTATAAAAATAATAAATAAAAAAATAGTAATATAAAATGTTGACGTGACTTAACCGTGACCACAAAAACAGAAGGACACCACAATTAGAGGACAGACAATCCAAGTCCGAGTTAATCAAGTTGAATATCGCAGCAGAGCAGACAAAAACAAAAGGGTGGGGACGCGTTGGTCTCACGAGATTGAATCCTGGCCCTTGATTGGGTCGCCCGCTTTCGTTCTTTTGCTCGACTTTTCCAAATTCCCTCACCAGATCATCAATAATTAACACAATTTGTTCAATAAAATAAAACATTATATTAAATTATTGACAAACAGTTGATGGCTGATGCGTGTCGTAAAAGCACGTTTCTTTCATTTTGTTTTTTTTGGATTTATTTTGTTGGGCATGCCGCACGTGTAAAAACACTCTCCACCTTCTTATTTTATCATTTTTATTTTTTATTGTGTTTCATTTTTATTTTTATAGTGTTATTCATTTGTTTCTTCGATGACCAATCTTTACTATTGCTTCCCTTATCGTTTTATTCTGTCAAACCATCACCTGTATTTATTTATTTTAACAAAAAAAATTATTATTTTAAAGACAAGATATGGTTCAAAACTAGGGCTGGGCAAACGGGTACAGGACCCGCGGGTAAGGGCGAGTATTATCGATTCAGGCCGGGTTCGGGGCGGGGCCAAATTTGGTAGAGACAAAACGGGGCGGGGCGGGGCGGGGAGAGGGTATCTTCAGGGGCGGGGCAGTTCCAGAATTTGAGAATGCAGGGGCCCCGAACCGACCCGTTCTACCATAACAAAGCAATTGCTTTACTTTTTCAATCATCTTCCCCCACTCCCAGATTCCCCCCATTTTTTTCTCTGTTCTTGTTCTCTTCTCCCTCCCACCCCTCGACTGCGTCAACATCACAGAAGGAAGACGATAGGCTTAACTCGGCTGCTGACCACCCAATCTGGTCCGACTCGGCCAGTTACGCATCACTCTTGACTCAGTCGACGACCTCATCGCCACGATCCAAGACTGGACTGCCATGGCTGACGACAAGTCCATCGGTGTCGAGAATTATGAACCATCAACACGAGAAGACAGCATCAGGAGTTCAAGTTGGTCAACATGTCTCTGTTTATTGTGAATCACGGTGGAGTATAGTGGCGCATGCTAAAGCCAAGCCATGGCCGCAATCCACTGCTCCTTCACTCTCCACTCTCTTCAACCGCCGCCGCCGCTTCCTCCTCAGCTCTCCAGCCTCAGACCTTCTCTCCTCTCCGCCAGCAAACACCAAACAGCAAGAAGAACAAAAAGCTCACCGGATACAGACCCTGCAGAGTGGAGTTCTCAAATGACGATGCCGAAGGCGGTTCGGCGATGGATTCCACCGATGCCAGGTTCGCCGTCATGGGCGTCATCAGCTTCATTCCCTACTTCAATTGGCTGGTAAAACAAACAAACAAAAAACCCATTTTTCTTTCAAATTCTTGAACTTTTTGATTATTTATATGAATGTGTTTGTTGGGTTTGTTTTAATTTTTGTTGGGTTGGACTGAATAATTGTAGAGTTGGATTTTTGCTTGGTTGGATACCGGAAAACGGCGGTATGCGGTGTATGCGCTTGTGTACTTGGTTCCCTACCTGAGGTTTGACTCTCATACTCTTGATTGAATGCTTGCATTGTATTTGCATACTCTGGTGTTGATTAATTGGGCAGTTGCATTGCATACTTGTGAGCTTATGCTTCTGTTCTAGTTATCTGTATCTGTGGTTCTGGGCACTAATGTGACTTGCCCGTGATTTGTTAGGACGAATTTGTCGTTGTCACCTGAGGAGAACTGGCTGCCCATTGCTAGCATCGTTTTCTGCATTATCATGTCCAGGTACAAGTTTGTGAGCGAATAATCTGACGGACTGAACTTTTCTTTTTCCTATTCTTACTCATCTGCTAATCAATTTTGATGAGTAATTGACAATTGGGTAACAGTGGCCTGCCTAGGTTTATTAAACCACCGACATCACCGAAGCAGCAGCTGCAGAAAATTGCGTTTGGGGAAAGGCAATGGAATTAAGGCCTTTTTCTTCAATCCCAACAAAGAACCCATCCTCAAAGAAGCGCTCAAGGTTCTTGTTTCACCTACTACTACCATCTCTGTCCACACCCATTTCTTCAATCCCAATGAAGAACTCATCCTCAGAGAAGATCTTAAGCCCATTTTTTCAATAATTCATAGATTACCCATGCTTAATTTGGTTGAATGATGTGTTTGGAATCTATGTGTTGTTAATTTATCTGATACTTTGGATCTTGATGTACGCGTTGGTATGGTTTTCTTTTATTTGCTGAGGAACACAACCTTCAGGCTTCAATTCGTTCCTTTCTGTGCTAGGACCCGTGGACCAGGCCCGAATCGACCCGTTTCAAACAGGTCGAGTTAGGTCCGGTTCCAAAATTTGAAATCCCATTACTCGCCCCGACCCGCCCCGTTATGTTTTCATACGGGTCCGGTCCGGTCCCTCCAAATTTGGGCCCGGCTCGGCCCGTGCCCAACCCTATTCAAAACTATTACATATAATTTTAAATAATTTAGTAAAATATCAATAAAAATTTTACCATTTAGCAAATCAATGACCTATTTTTGTTTTGGACTTAAACAATGTTATATTTTTATTAATTAAGCATAGGTCAATGATGAATGTCACGGGCTTTAAGTCATTATAAAAATAGTTAGAGATTGATTCTTTTATCCTTCTCTCTTTCTCTCAATGAATGTCATATAGGCTTTAAGCTATTATAAATAGTTAGAACATGAATATTTTATCATTCTCTCTCTCGTGCCCTTCGTTTACATGGAGGAGTCTGCTCAACTCAAGGAAACGGAACCAGAAATCGGACACTACATTGCAGTGGCTGAATCCAAAGGTAAAAAAAAAACATGGACAAAAAAATGAAACCAGTAAATGGACATTGTAACACAGTGTCTAAATCCAAATGTAAAAACAAAATCAGGAAACAGACTCTGCAACGCAGTGTCTGATCGGTATGGACTTATTCCAAAATATAAAAACTATGAGAAATGGTTTGTTAGTTGAAGTGGGTGACAATTGTAATGGGTACCAGCTGTAGTGACAAATTTTGCTAATTTAGATGGGATTCCAATGGAAGTTCTTCTGTTTCATTTGAAATTGTGAATTGTATATTGAATTAATTAAAATCACGAAAAATATCACAATACATGATTGTCTTTTTATTGATTTTACACAAAATTACCATGTAATTTAATATTTTTATTGTTATGTTAGAAAAAAAAAATTAAACTTAACAATATATTATTAAAAATATATTCTAACTGAAGATGTAAATGTTCAAATTAGAATTTAATAAAGTATGCCCTTTCTTAGAAAAAAAAATATATAATTAAAAATATATATATTAGGGAAAATCTCAGTTTACTACTCTCAAACTCACGGATCTGCAAATTAAAATGTATAAACCGTAACTCTGTTGACTGATTGAACTGTGATCTGTTATGTTTATTATAGACCACGAGATGAGAAAAATAATGAATCAAAACTCTTGAGGACCCCAAATCTGGTGAATGATGTGACAAAGTTGAAAACCCTGGACCGAAGAAGGCACTTTCAACTTGATTAAGGGCTGGTTTGGTATTGTTGTGCTTTGAAAAAAAGCTGCTGTGAGAATAAGCGGCTGTGCTGTGAGAATAAGCGGCTGTGAAATAAATCAGCAGAGTGTTTTGTAAACTTTTTTGTAAAAGTGCTTTTGGAAAAAAAAGCAGTCTAATAATGGGTCTTTTCATTAAAGAAGCATTGTAGCTCATGTGCTTTGAAAAAAAGCCAGTTTTCCAAAGCTGCAAATAGCAGCTTCAGCTTTTTCCCTTGATTTCAGCTTATTCTCACAGCAGCTTCCAAAATAAGCCATTTTTTTTCAGTTTACCAAACACCTAAAACCCTCACAGCTTTTTTTCATGGGTGCTTTTTTTTTAAGCACCTCACTCCCAAACTAGGTCTAAGTGCATTCATTTCCTCTCTGATATTTGTATATGCCAATTTAGATGACCTTGGTGACATTATTTGTTATGTGTGCGAGGTACCCTCGATCCGCAAGGAAAATGAAGAGAGAAGTGGGAAGATCATTCAGACATCATGTATCCATAAACTCGAAACGCACAGACCTATGAACACAAATTTGATATAACCCATCCTCCTTCAATTTTTGTTGTTTACATGCCAAAAAGTCTAAGAAAACTAAATGCAGTGATGCCTCTGTTCCATCTTGTGAAGATAACACTAGATCCGTGAAAAATCCTAACAAAATTACTCAAACTACAGCATGAGCTTGCAGATCCGAAAGCAAATGTATAGATCTGCCTAACAATGTGGCCGATTCGGACCTTGGATCCGGGTACGAATTCTAAGGTTTCGCCCTTCCGCGGACCTTGAACCATAACCAGTTTGAGAGCTGAAGGCTTCATTTTTGGCAGAGAAGAAAGGAGGGAAAAAAGTTTTGAGTTTTGAAATGCTTTTTAGAGTGAAGGAGGAGATCGTGAGCTCGAGGTCCCAGCCATGGGTGTTGAGGATCTCCACGCACAAATCGGAGTCTTCGAGGCCTATGATCGCTTGGAAATACGCTAACTTGTTCACATCGACCATCTTTGCACCCAGATTAGGACTTTCCCTAGGAGTTGTGGTGGAGGGGATGGAGGGGTGTCAGGTGGGGAAGACGAAGGCGTTTTGGGTTTTTTTTTTTTTTTAATACTTTTATTTAATTTTTTAATTTTTTTAATGACACGGTCCTCAATTATTGTCCACATGGGTGCCACGTTATTAGTTAACGGGAGACTTAACAGCTAAACTAACAGATGTATGAGACTGTCCCAAAATTAACACTTTAGGTATGACTCTGGGACGAAAAAAACTTCATGTACTAAATGTTGAAAATCACAAAACTTGAGGGTAGTAAACTAATATTTACCCTATATATTATTAAACCAAATATTGCTTAATAATGAATTCATGTAAATTACTCTTATAATAACCGGAAGAAAAAAAAAAGGAGCTTTCAACAAAAAAGATAAAGAAAGAGAGCCGTGCCACTCTTCTCTCTCCCTTTGAAAGAAAACCCTACTCTAGTAGCACCTCACTGCTGGCACTTGCAGGGCTTGGGCTGGTGGCATCCACAGTTTTCCTCCTCCTACCCTTTTCCCATTTCCTCCTACGCTTTCCACAACCAGGTTTCCCCCCTTTCTCCTTCTTGCTTCATTTTTTTCCTATTTCTCCTTCATTTTTTCCCTTTTTCACTCTTCCCAACTTTTCTTTGAGTTTTTCTTAGAATTCCTTGGGCTTGGTCCCAATTTTCCCTGAGCTTGTCTCAAATCTAGGTTTTATGCATGTTTCTTGACTTCCCTAGCTGTTTTCGATGTTTTCCTTTCCCACCCAATTTTCTTCCTCATGCTTTCCCAAATCTCTTTTCTCATTCATCCATAAGCTTGCTCATGAAGTGTTTGACCCGATTGATTTCCTAGATCCACACCTCACAAACCTTTGCCTTACCGGCTACGATGCACAGACACGGCACATCGACCACGTATTGCGTGTCAGATACGTAAATGGACACGATACGCCTCTGATACGGTCGAATACGCGTTGGATAAGTAACTGGATAAACGGATACGGTATTTGACAGATGGATACGGGTATCTGATGGTTTAGATACGGGTATTCGACTGTCTAGATACGGATATCTGCACCATGGCCTTTGATGCAATTTCGTGGAAGAAAACCTAATGATGGAGATGACGCAATCTGGTGGAAGGATGCCTCGCGAAAAAGATGACGCAATTTGACGGAGGAAGGCGTCGCACGGAGACGACCCGATCTGGTGGAGGAGGCTTTGCGAAGAAGATGACTACTAGGTCAACATGCCGTTTATTTGTTTCTGTGGTAAAATAACACCACAGTTTCTTTTTTTTAAAAGCCCAAACCACATAGCCCACCGAATTTAAACCACTACCATCCTTTCTTTTTGAGAATTTGAATAATATAAATTAAATTTTGAGTAATTAATTTTTTTATTGTTATTTAAAATATATTTTTAAATATATATTTATTATATAAATTGCCATATCCATGTCGTATCGTGTCTTAGTTTTTAGAAATTTGACGTATCCCCGTGTCGTATCCTCATGTTCGTGTCCATGTCCATGCATCGTAGCTTACCGACTTGCTGGAAAATTTGGGTGAAGTGTGGAACTATTTACGTCATAACAAGGGTGATATACACACCCCCCTTCGACCCTCCCTTTTTTTTCATTTTGTGTTTGGTTCTCTGGTTTTCTTTGTAGGTGTTGCTATCAACGGTTTGGATCTCAAGGGTTCGATTTGGTTCGGTGTTTCAAGATTAATCTTATGGTTCGTGTGTGATTTGGGATTTGGTGCAAGCATCGTGGGTGCGGCGGGCTGCTCTTTGGTGTTGGAGATTCGGGTTTCCTTTTGTTGCTTTGTTTATGGTGCTGGGCAAAGCTTGGTTGGGCCTCCCTAGATGTTTTGGTTTGTTGCTCACTTTTTGCTTTTGCCCTTTGTTGTTTGTACTTATTTTCTTAATTAATGAATGTTCTCTTTCCGACCACAAAAAATTGTAATCGAGCTAATTTATATTTACACATAGCAAGTAAAACAAGGAAGTTAGAATCCCTTCGCCATGGTACAAGGTAATTTGCATTAATGTTAGTTATAAATTCGTCTTCTTGTCATGTAATTTTTTAAGGTACTATTGCTTTTTTTTTTTTTTTTTTTTTTTTTTTTTTTTTGTCTCTTGCCATTTGATTTTCTGCCTTGGCCCTTGGCTATTGTATTAATGTTAGTTATAAATCCTTTTCTGTCATTTT